AAATGCATACATACGTACTTACACATCACAAAAAAATCCCTTTTCAAGTATCAACTTAGAGTCATAATCATTAGTCATAAGTATCAGCTTAGAGTAAATGGGATTACATTTAACAATAAGTTTTTTTTTTTTTTGAAAAAAAAGGACTCTCTCTTTTTTTTGAAAAAAAAAAAAAAGAGAGAGTCCTTCATTGTGTTCGTACGTACATACGTCACCCCAAAAAATAATTCACATGGATTCTGTAATCGTCAAAAACGGATATTTCCGTTAAAATATGATACCCAAAGTTTTCTCGATTACAATAATTACTACCATTTTATTTAATACAAGGAAGTAAAGAACCTATATTAACCTACATATTCTTATATAAACAATACCTAAGTGCAGTATATAAATATTTCAAATCAATAAAATCTCACTATGGCACGTTCAAGAAAATAAATAAATAAATAATCATCTAAATTTTCAAATTACAAACATAAATAGCAATAGTAAAAAGCAAATACAAAATAACGCTTCCCGCTATCAAAATTGCTCATCTTCTTAAATATCAACAACTAAACTAAATAGTATTTCAACTAAAACACATAATGTAAACAAGAATTTGCCCGATGTCCAAAAAAATTCAAAATTATCTATGAAAAATATGAGCACATTGTAACGCAACCGCATCATTCGCATTCGCATAGAAACCGCATCATTCGTATTCGCATAGAAATCGCATCATTCGTATTCGTATAGCAACCGCATCGTGCATATTCACAAAGCCTACAGACAATTTCGCTACGGGCTGCTCTTCATTGGAGGAAACATCTGCTTGGCGGTCATATTTGGAATGGCGAGTTATCGCCCTGTAGGAGTGGTAATTAACAGCAAACAAACGGAAACAGCGTTTATTTCATTCAATATTTTTTTAGTTTATGAATGAAAGCTTAGAGGAATTGTGTGGAATATATCTTAAATAACCTACTGATCTTATTAATAGTTTATTTGTATTTGAATTTAAACTTTTAAAAGTACGTAATTGTTTTACAAGAAAAGGTGTTTATATCGAGACAGCATATGCACTTTTTCGTTATTTCACTTAGGAAGAGTCTGTTGTGTAAATTTTCATAGCGCATTAATTTATACAAATAAAGGAATATTAAAAAATTAACCTAATGAAAACATTCAGTAAACATTTAAGGGTGTCGGATACCTATTCTTTTTACGAGTAAGTATAACTAAAATTATATTTTATTCCATTATGCGCTATATCTATTGAAACGCTTTTCGGGATCTTGGATCGTAATCTTGCTTACTGGTACCTACTACAAAGAGTACAAACCAGTAAATAAAAATAAGAAAAATCAACATTAACAAAAATAGAGAAAATAAAGGCGTTTAATTTTTAACACCGTACCCGAAGGCGAAAAGACAAATAATGACAAAGTCATTCAATAAAGTTAAAATAAAAATAAATCCGTATAAAGCAGAGTTTATAAAAGCTACGAGTGGGGATAGATCCGGCGACCTAGAAGTCTGAGAATTATTCTCGCGCTCGTTACCACAGGGCTGCGGTTTCTCCGGTGGGTTATGCTCACTTTTTGGTACACCACGCTTAGATACAAATTGTAAAGGCGATGAACCAAAAGTCGCCAAGCACTAGATTCTGTAACCCTACCTCTTTTAACCAATCGGAGCAAAGAGCAGAAGAAACGGTCTGTAGGCTTTGTGAATAAGCCCGCATCGTTCGTACTCGAACAAACCGCATCGTACGACAGATGCGAGTAACGAACAGATGCGAGTAACAAAATGAATTTGTGAGTACCGAATCGGTACTTCGAGTCAACCGATGTACCCGTTACTCAGTAACGAATACATGCGGTTTGCTCCAGCTCTAGTGTTAGTTGTAATCCTCTTTTTATTTTCTTGAATACAGTAGACTACCGACGCAATCAAAATACTGTTATTTTCAAAAAAAAAAAAAAAAAAAAAAAAAAACATTATGTTTCTAATAAGTGAGCTCTAATTTTGATCATATTTATTTTTTCTCATAATAAAATTCGGTTAAAATTTATGCTGCATAAACTTGTGTAACTTTTTTTATTTCTATGCATTACTAAAGATGAAAATCTGCTTTTTTGATATCAGATTGCGTTATATATCTTAAATGGAAAGTTTAAACATTATTGAATTTGAAATAACTTTTTATATTTGTAATCATTTTTGATTTACTTGTAAATATTAGTTTACTAGAAAATATAGAAAGGATGAATCTCTAGATTCAGAAAAATGAATGTGTGTTTAAGCCTTTAGTATACGCACATACACATAGTCTCCACCATACACATACATGTATGTTGGCACAAAGGATACGAAGAGATTGCATATCCAAGGAGCTTTTGCTGATGTTGAGTTTACTTGTATTTCTCCTCTGATGAGTAACATATCATGCATGAAGACATTTGTGAGCAAAATAAGGTTGAAGATAATGTCACCTTATTTATTAACCATTTTCTGCATTACTAGTTGAGCATTAGCATACTTTAGGGAGGCATTTCTTAAAGCATTATCCTTGACTCCTAAATAGAGTGGCTAGTGTTTTTAGTGTATTTTAAATATTCTTCTTCTGAGATGTAATGAGTAATGTAGTCGCAAATATCTCTTTAACCCTTAAGTACAGAGGTTCATTTTCTGTTATGTAAACACAGAGGAGGGATCTCTCAGACAGCGCTCTATTTTATGCATTTTAAAAATATAAAATTTTAGAATAATGTACTATTGTTGTTAAATAAGCATTAATACAGTTTGCTTGTTATATTGAAGTAATTAATTCTTTTTAAAACTCTAAAATTAATGCATTAAAAATTATTTACAAAGTAAATTAAAAGTACAATATATAAAGAATATTAAAAAACTGCAGCATATTATTTTAAGCATTTTCAACACAATTTTTAACAAATTGTCTTGGTACATTCATTACATATTTTATTCTTGCAGATAGGTAGTTTTTCTTCTTAGTCTAAGGAGACAAAGAAAGCTTATTTTACGCTTTTAAGGGTAACTACATCTGGGCTAGAATAGATTCCGCTGGAAACTTCTAGCACTCTCTGAATGTGCATTTTTGTTTCACAGTTGGGTTTTGAAGCCTCCATTCCATATGTGGTTTCGCCAATTCTTATAACTTCATCACAAAATCAGTTTTTTACGTTGATATGTTACATGTGCATTAATTCCACTTACATCAAGTAACCTAAAGAATGTGGCTATTGGCCATCGCCTTGTTCTTCGACTTCTAGAATGTTTAAAACATTTTTCATCCAATGCATCTACACCTCTTTTAGTCAAATTGTAAAATTTTATTATTTCTCGATTCCCAGTTTCAAGGTTTTCTGATTTCAAATGATGCATTGAAGAAATGAGAATAACACTTTTTAATTTTTTGAGGCACATATAAAATGAGAGTTATTCTATCTGTGCATAAAGGGAAGATCCTTCATTTTTCATTTCATTTTTAAAATTTCACTTCGTATTTCTGTCTTAATTTTTTTCATACTACAGACATATGTCAAACATCTAGAGTTACGTTCCTTTACGCATTCGATACTCAAATAGTGATAAAGCCATCCACCCCCAATGCTAGTGAAAGTAACGTGAACGCAGAGGTGAAGCCTGTATGACTGTGGCTCAATTTTAAAATTATTAAAAAAAAAAAAAAAAAAAAAAACTAATGGATAGAGTTTAATAAAAAAATAGAAATAGTTATATTTTATGTCAACTTGAAAGTACTGAAAAGGAAAAGAATAATCATATAAATAGTTTCTCACTTCTAAAATATTGGTGCGGTCATACAGATCCCCACCTCTGTGTTTAGGGGTAAAGAGGTTATCACAAATGGCTACAGTCCCTGCTAGACGGGACTTTCCTGAGAAACGAGATTCGGGTAGCACTGGTTTAAATGGGAGGATTCCTAGAAAAAAGAGCCCTGCCTGAAGCGAAGTCACGCCTGTCTTTGGATACAATGTTGCGGCTAAGCGGGATTTTTTTCAAACCTCACCGAAAATGTCTCGGGTCTAGGGTAGAGACAACCAGTCATACGAAAGTTCTGCTTCTGAAGGATCACGTGATCCCAATCTGAGCAATAATCGATTACTGTTTGGCGTTCAAGTCTTTGTAGTAAGAGAGAATGGTAACCTATCTACGTGTGTTTCCCGGAATTGTGCGGGCTCTGAGAATTGTCCCTTTCGACGTCAAGTCCCACATAGCCGAAACATAAAGTGATTTGAACCTTTGATAACCTCACAGAATTTCCACTGGAAAGCTCTGTAAAGTCAAGGAAATGAAAAATGTTCGATGTAAAATTCAGAATGTATCTAAAAGAGAGTAAAGAGAAAAGAATGATTTATGGATTACCCACTCAACTAATAAAAGTTCATGTTTTAAATAATACCAAGAAAACAAAAACTGACTCTTGAAAAGAAGCAAATGAAGATTTAATTTAATCTTTGTTTTTGTTCAGAAAATTTATCTACCTGATACCGAATACAGTTGTATCAAACTGTAGCTGTGTTCTCTGTCTGTCAGTGAACTGTTGTTCACTCTTCTGTTTAGAAATATAACTATTCTGTTGCTTTTTTCTTTAGAAATTTAATTGTCCAGTAGGAGTGATCATGTGGTTGTACATTATACAGTCAAAAGTCGTTAATTCGGACACCCATAATCAGGAATGATTTATAATCCGGACCTCAAAGCTAAAAACTTTCTGCGCATGCGCCGCGTTGACACATGCGCATAGGCGTTTACGCGTGCGCGTAAGACCTTTTACGTCTGCTCATATGCGTGTGCGCAAGCGCAGAATACGTTTTTGCGTGCGTGTTTTATGTATAACGGACGGTATAAGCTAAAATTATCTAATTATCTATTTCAGTTAATGTTGATGATTGCGTTGTTCCTTAATTTTTGAATTGGATCCGGCTTATTATTTATTGCAGACTGTAAGATACTATAAAAGTAAACTTGAACTTTCGATTATGTCATATAGAATTTCCGATTCTGGAGCTCCCAAAGGATCGTATAAAACGAAAGTATGTTTCCATGTCCATCAAACAAAAAGTGGAATGGCTGCAAAAAATGGATAAAGACATGAAGAATGTGACAGAGAGGTTAGTGAAAACGAAAAAATTTCAATTGACCAGTTAGTCGGTATTCTCGGCACAGCAATTAACGGGACTTGAACAGCGGAACTTTGTAACTGAACAAGAAATTATGTCTTGTTATAGAATTAAAGAGAAAGTACTATCACATAAAACGAAGCAACTTGAACAACTTACATTGAAAGAAATGTTTAATAAAGTAAACAAATAAATATTAAGCTTTTTTTTTTTTGTAAATTTTGATACCCTTTAGATCATAATTGTTCTTTATTTCATAAATTACGGTTTCATATTTTTGATTTTAGAATTTCTGCATGCCATCTTACGAGATTTAAACTGATGATCTATAATACGGAAGAATCAATAATCCGTAATCGCCGAAGTCCCGATGAGTCCGGATTAACGACTTTTGACTGTAGTCAATAAATTATATTAAACACTTTTTCCAGTTCAGTGTAATTCTTAACTCAGCTTTACTTTGTAATATTATTGGGATGTCAGTTTATTAGGAAGATTTATTATAAATTCCCCCCCCCTTTTTTTTTGAAAGCTACACACGTTTTTAGCTAATCTTTGGAATATGGTAACAGGTAGTTTGGCGACATTTTGGTAAGACGTTAAAGGTTACTAGCTAGGACTTTAGCAGTGTACATGGATAAAGTCAAGAGTGTGCGCAATGCCATTTTTGTGCAGTTCTGGGATGTTTTTTTTTTAAGTGAAAATAGGTCGACGTGTACATGGATACCGTGTATGTGCAATTCTTAAAAACGTGGCAAGCAGTTTGCGATTCTGCACTTTTGCCCAATTCTGCACCTAATCTTCGTCATGATTAAGCACTTTAGTTCCATAAAAGTTCTAGCATAAGCGTAATTCGGCTAGCAGATTGTTGGAAAAAAATGTTGAGTAAAAAAAAAAAAAAAAACCTTTACTTTGTGAAAACAAAATGGTGTCCAAACAAAAAACTAGTTGCTGTAGCAGGGCTGGTCGCCAAATTTTCGCCAAAAAAATTTAAGTTACCATAATCCAAAGATTAGCCATTTTTTTAATCGCTTTAATGTATACTTTCTATATACAGTGAAGTCTTGGTTTGCAAATATAATTTGTTCCCAAAAGGAATTCATCAAGTGAAATGTTCATAAACTGAAGCAATTTTCCCCGCAAAAATTAATGTAAAATAGATTAATTTGTTTCCAGATTATAGATAATTGTTTATTTAAACTTTACAACAGTGCAAAATGTAAATCGTTAAATATAGTCTCCGAGATCCTAACTTAGCAGGACTTTGGCAGTTTAAAATATTTGAAATTTCTGGATTTAGGAGCATCAGTTTAAATTCAGTAAGATGATATACGGAAATTATAAAATTATAATTCAGTTAAATAGCTGTTTATAAAGTATAATTGCGATCTTAAGAGAATTAAAATTTACAAAAGAAGCTCAATAATATTTGTTTGTTTTATAAAGCAATTCTTATGTAACTTAGTTATTTTATTTTTTGTCATAGCGCTTTTTTTTTAATTTTGTAAATAGATATAAATTATTGTTCAGTTACAAAGCTCCATTGTTTTAAGTTTTGTGATTACTGTGTTGAGAATTCCCACTGAACTCTCAAACTGAAATCTTTTTTGTTCTAGAAAATCTCTTTGTCACTTTTTTCACACACAATATTAAATAGGTAAAATAGATGAAAACTTAATTTTGAAGTACCTTATGAAGGAGAGTAGATGGCATAAGAGGAAAATGGTAAAAAAGTTATAATTTTGATGCAAAATTTCATTCCATAAAATCATCAGGAAATGGTCTTTATTGTGCAGTCACTTAAGATTTTAAGGGTAAAGTGCAGAATCATCCACTTATTTGTTTGG